CTCTTCACTTATTTTATATCAATTTGTTTAATCTTCTTTTCTTTAGTCATTATAATGTCAGATAAATTTGTTCCATATCATTTATGTGATATTAACAATCCTCCAGCTCATCTTGATGGCAATCAAAAATTGAATTGGATACGTGCTGCAAAAAAAGCGAAGAAAAACTATCAATATCAACAACAACATCCAGCACTTGATATACCAACATCATTTTACGAAATTATATATGTAAATAAATATACAACAACTGAAACAATGCAAAAATTAATTAATCATGTACGAAATTGTAATGAATTTACATTTGATACTGAAGATGAAAAATCAACCAAACAATTAGCATTAATTCAAATTCAAACAATACCTCAACAATTACCATTTTTTGTTATATTAGTAGAATGTGCACATTTACCACCCATTAATTCATCAATTCATTTACAAATTAAACAATTATTTGAATTAATTTTTAAATTTAGAAATAACATATATTCTTGGGAATCATTACGTAAGGAAATTTATCCAGCTATTGTTTATCAATGGTTTGAATGGCCAATTAAAACATCAGTGGTTAATTTTCAACTTAAATTTGCAGATTGGTATAATTGGACACTATCTCATTGAGAGATGTGTAGCCTGTCAAATCGTCGTAATGCTATTATTAATGCTATTAATTCTGATGAACAAATGAATTTGTTATCAAAATGTACCTGTCATAAACCAAGTCCTTATCGTCCTAATGAACCATGAGCATTACAACAAGCTTTAATTTATACATATGGAATATTTATCGACAAGTCAATTACTGTTAATGAATGGGCAATGGAATTAGATCCAATGTACTCAACCTTATCAACATCAAAAAGAAATAAGATGATACATTACGCAATATTTGATTGTTTTGCAGCAACGTATTTCATTCGACCTGTTACATTATATTGGACATTTCAACAGGTAACAAAAATTAATATTCTTGATTCATTTCAGGCATTACAACCATCATCACGAGCTAATAACAACTCAGCAAATACAAATATTAATCAACAAATAATTAAGAATATTAATGATGATATTGAATTAATCTCCGATGATGATGATGATGAAATAACAGTTAATCAATGCATTAAAATGACTATTAATAATGATATGTTATGCGAAGAAATTTCAAATGATGATCATGAATTAAATAAAGCATTACCATCAAATAATAATGAATCATTATATGAAGCAATATCAGATGATGATAATGAACCAAATCCTGCATTACCACCAAATGATAATGATTTACGTGTCAACAGCCATGATATGGTTGATGATGTCAGTGATTATGAACA